GAATGCGTGGGGGGGTCTCTTGCCCCCCAATAATAAAACTTGTATTAGACTCCTCCCCATTCCTCTGCAGTAATCTCTGCAGCTGTAGAAACCTTCCAGAACTTCCATTCCTGCACAGGAGCAGTCGTGGGCTCCACAGTGATAGAGCTGAGTGAAACCCACCCTACTAAGGCCACCGTCGTGCCCATCCACATGGGGCACTGCCCGCCCACTGCCAGTGCATCTCCCTGGGACCTTGGTCGATAAGAGAAGTGGAGGTCAGGTCCAGGCTGGTGGGGGCCTCCTGCCTCAGGGGGACAGGAGACCAACCCAGCCCAGTGGCACCTTGCATCCTGGACCCCATGTTGGGGTTCCCTTCTGTCAACAGAAAAGAACCCAGACTGTAAAATAACATAAAGAGCTTTACTCTGAGCTGGATACCTGCGACCATGGCCCGAGAGCCACACCCAAGGAGCCTTGAGCAGGTCAGACTCCCCGTGGTTTTACGGTTTGGTTTTATACATTTCAGGGAGACAGGACTTACATGTAAAGTCATAAATCAATACATAGAAGGTGTACACTGGTTTGGCCAGAAAAGGCAGGACATCTCAAAGCGAGGCATTACAGATTATAGGTGGGTTTAAAGATTCTTTGATTTGTAATTGATTAAAGAAACGAAGCTTTTTCTCAAGGCTTGGAATGTTTTAAGATGAAGTCTGTTACTGAGAGAAGCCACCGGACACAAAGCAGACGTATACCAGGACTCAAGTGATCTGTCACATTAGTAAATAACCTGCAGGTGTGTTTTAAGCTTTGCCTTGCACAGCCTTAGGCCTGTTCGTGAGTCACAGGGGACGTCTCCAAGAAGGGAAAGGCATGATGAAGCAGGTCTGACCTCCCTTCTCATGGCCAGCAACTCAGCTTCCAGGCATTTCTGGGATCTCCTTGGCCAAGAGGGGGTCCATCCGGTTAGCCGGGGGGCTTAAGATTTTATTTTAGTTCACACCACCCAGGCGTTATGGGATGAGGGGGCACAAAATCAGGGCCTTCCATGTGGGACTCGGTGCTGAACTAGGCAGTGTCCAAGCCCCTCCACACCCGCGTGGCTGCACTGGGCTCCTTAGGTCTACTGCGAGTTCAAGAGTCGGCTTGGACTTCCGTAACGGAGGCCTCATTCAAGGCACATGCAGCTTTTATTAAAATTACAGCCCAATTTCC